TTGTTGACCCAACTCATTTGAAACAATCTAACTTTTGATTGTGATTCTGTTAATATTTTGTTTTTCCAATTGTAAATATTGAATTTGAATATATTACAGAATTTATATTCAAATATTTATCTAAACTTTTACCCTGAATAATATTTTTTACACTGAGAGTAACCAAAATCATGAGATTATCTTTTACGATATTAACTGGGAACTTTGCTGAATTAGAATATGAAATTTTTTTTTATCCTTTTCTTTTTCACTTTAATATAATAATAAATACTAGTATCTTTAACTGAATTCATATCAACAGCTAACGGTTAACTTATTATTGATGAAGATTAGGATTTTCATGATTGGTTTCCTGGGAATTATCAACAAAATTCTGGGTTTCTCATCTTCTCATGATAATCATTCTCATCCCTTTTTTTCATGATAATGATGATTAACATTATGACAATTCATTTTTTTTATATATCCTTTTTTGCATCAATCTAAATATCAAATTCAGGGTAAATAATATTATTATTACTAAATCTCTCTCTTATTCTGATGAGGATAGTATTATATATCCATCCCTGAATAATATTTATTCAGATAAATGATTAAATAATCATGATGATAATAAATAAGATGAGGAGGAAAAAAACTTGTAAGATTTTTGTTCTCAATGGAAACTCATCAATCTTATGTTGGTGGGAAAGGTGAGGAGGTAAAAATATGAAATGAATATTGATTATATTAATAGATGAAGATGATAAATGTAAAGTAAATTCAAGAAGATAAAGATGAAGATGAGTTCTTCCGAAAAAAAAAATTCTCAAGAGAAACAATCAAGTATGATGAGAGATGATGGATTCTGGGTGTGGACAAAAGAAAGGTATTGATTTTAAGATGGAAGAGAAAAAAAATGATTAGTTTAATTATTTATTTATCTCAAAATTTATCACCATCTTTATCTTCATCTTATCTACATTTGAAAATCGCTGCTGACTCCATCGTTTCCTTTTCCGGTTCACCAAGATTGCACTTCATCATCTGATAAAGGCGATGCTAATCATTAGATCTCTCTCTCTCTCTGATAATTCATCAAAGATTACCAATAACTCCCTTGATTGTACTAGTTGATTATTGGGAAATGATTTAATGTTTATTTGTATCGATTTGTTTTTGTTTTAATCTTGAGCATCTTGTTGATCATCATCATAATCATCAACAACAGTTCAGGATAAATTGATCAATGATTGAGTGAAATTAACGGTAAATATTATATTAAAGTATTGGTCAGTTAATATAATTGTTGTATTAATGTTTTTCCACTCTCAATTTGATTGTTATTAATCAATTTCATCTGCATCAGTGTACAAATACATATAATATTAATACACCTTGATTGACAAAAAGTATTAGTTTGATTACTTGGATTAATAATGGATGATGATGATTGAGTAACAACAATCAAATTAACTCTCTGATGATTTTATTATCACTAATAATCATCAACAAGCAAAATGGTAACAATCAAATTAAATCCTAACCTGTTAGTCTTGATTGTTATAATGGTTAATCTTATCACCAAACCTGATTACTAAATTATCTTCCTGGTTTATACTTGTATATACACTTATTGATTGTTGTAAATCAAATTATCAACTCAAATATGATTAAGACAATTAAATAATCACTTTCTCCAAAAATCATCATCTAATCAGATTAGATTTTTTTTTCTCAATTGTTTTTGTCGCACTTTTCCAATAAATCAAAAATAAAGTAAAAACCTTGAACCGGATTAACAACAATCAAGAAAAAAAGTTCAATATTAATTGTGACAAATGGTGAATTAGTTGAGATTACAATTTAATAGACTTTAATTGTAAGCCAATTGTAACCAATTTAATGGTGATAAAATATTAATTGTGGTGTGAGATGATTGTACTTGATTGGTAGTGATTAAAGTAATCAATTGTAATTTGGAAGAAAAAAAATGTTTTTAATTGTAAGAATTTAGATTCTTATTGATGATAATGATTTAGGATCTTGATAAAGAGCAAATTGATCAATAAAAGCTTAATTGTCTCGATGATCATTAACAACACGCGGTGTTAATAGTCAACAATTTAAATGGTAATGAGTGTCCATCTTATGGTCAGTGATGATGAAGATAAGAGTTAGAAGAGGAAATTGTTATCAATAGTGAATAGTTGATGATGATGATGATGATGATGATGATAATATGGATGATAAAAGATGAGTAAATCTCACTTGAAGATGATAATGATGATTAGGATGTACAGTTAAAACTGACCTTCTCATGTGGTCAGTTTATGGTTTTTGATGATTGGGAGGATGAAGATTAAGGTTTTCAATGTAATGATCATGATGATGAGGGTAAATTGTTTCAATACATTTCATTACAATCTAAATTGATCAACTAAATTATCTTGGTAATAATCAAACAGATAATAAATTAATCACTGATGAGGGACCATCACCATCATCATTACGAGTAAATTGTTCACAAGGATTTTAAATTAATTGTTGCAATAAATAAATTACACTTTTCTTTAATATTACAACTTTGAACAGAAAATAATTAAACAATTAGAAAAGTTTTACATTCATATTGATCATCAATAATTTAATTAGTTTATTTGATTTTCGTTTTTTTTTATAATTATTTTGATTAACATTATAATCGGTTAATTTGATGATCAACAATCAACTTTAATTGTTATTGAATTACTTTCATATTCAACTCAGGATATTTAGCTAATTAACTCAACCAACTATTAATATATATAATTTTCTAATTATCCTAATATTTGTATTTTAATAATTTATATGCTCTCTTCAACAATTAAGTCTAACAATTACAATTGAATACCATTAGTAATGGACAATTAACTAATCATCGATTTTGCAGTTTTCCTTTTCTTTTTGATTCCATTGGTTCAGTTAATCACTTTCATCTTCCAACTTGACCCTTCCAAAGATAATGAAAGAGTCTCTTAATTAAAAAAAATTTAACTTTCTTTTTATTAATAACAATTTAATTCTAACAATGATTAAAATCAGAATCGTATTGGGATTGGAACAATATTTGCTGTGAGAATAGAAGAAGCTATTTATCGAGCAACTGCCCTGGGAATAGACTTTATTCTAACGTGTCTAGAAAGTGTTTTTTGAGTTGCTCCTTTTTTAAAGTGTTTTTTAACCGTGTTTAAGTTACTTTTGAACCGTGTTTTTTTATATAAAACCACTCACAAGACAAACAAAATCTTTAAAAACGAGCCTTTATAACCGAGATTTAAAAACGAGAATAAATAAAAAGGAAAACTTACCCTTCCACCCAAAACGGAAATGGATAAGAACAACTTTACCAGCCTATATACCCTATTAAAGGAAACACATGGTGATCCACCAAACAAAGAAAATGTGAAAAGAAACATTGAAGCTTATTCAATAGATTATCTGGTTGAAATGAAAAATCTCTGTGCAGAGATAATCAAAGATAAAAAACTCCAACAACATCACAAAGTACATGAAGCTCTCCTTGTGTATATGGAATCTTTCATTGCTGCTGTCACAGAGCATGTAAACGTGGTCATTGATGAAAGTATACATGAGATTGATGACAACAAAGATAAAGACAAAAGATCTGAACCACCAATGAAGAAAAAATGTGATGAAATTTTCACTGTACAGGTGCCAAAGGGTAAACAGACAAGATCGTCGACTAGACAGTCGCGTGGTAAAAGTGTAAATGAACACACTAAGAAAAATCTGGATACCTCGCAGTTGTCACATAACAACATAGCTGAAACCCAGGCCCAATCGACCGAAAAAGATGATTCAGATGAAAAGAAAAGAAAGAAAAATATAAATGAACAAGCTAAAACTCCATATGCTCTCAATATTTTTGATGCCCAAATTGAACATCCAAAGCACTGGCTACCCTGGAAAACAGGGCAACGTGAATATGCAATAATCATCGAGGGTGATGAAGATAAAAGAGAAACGAATCTCATCAACAAATCCTTACTCAAGTGTGGAATTGTTGGAGGAGGTATAGTTAAATCGATACAAACGAAGAAGCAAACCAGAATCTCTGTGAACTCCGAGATAAACAGAAGCAAGATGATTGAATATCTTAAAGAAAAACACCCTGATCTCACGTTTGAAATACCAAAGTGGCAACTACCACAAATTAAAATAGCAGGATTACAGAAAAGAGAAGACCAAACATGGGAAATGAAGGTCAAGGAAATCGCTGCCCTAAACGGGTTCAAAAAGCATCTCGCATTTAACCTGATCGACATTTTCTATGTTGGAAAGAAAAACACTCCGATCCTGCAGATAGAAGTTTCACCATTCATCCGATCGATGATACAGAATGAGAAAAGAGGTTTTATTTTCGGAGGAAAATATACCCACGAAATAATAGATAGAATTGACATCAAGCTGTGCAAACAGTGTAAAGCCTTCTCACACACGATGAAACAATGTAAACTTCAGGTCAGATGTGGTAGATGCTCGCAGAATCATCCGACTAGAGAATGTGAATCTCTGAAACTCAAATGCCCATCGTGTCGTTTGGATGGACATGATTTTGCGAGTTTTGAATGTAAGGCTTATCTCAATGCAATCAAAGATGCAATTGTAGATATTGACTATTCCTACTCATTCATTATTCACCCTGTAAAGAAAAGAATCATTTAAACCCAGAAAATAAGAAACCCTCACTGGGGACCTGAGACAAAATAACAGAAACTTAAATCACAAACTAAAAAGTGTCTCAGCTCAAAAATAATAAACAAAAATGATTATCTACATCAAGCTACCACCAAGTTATATTCGCATGAGTAGAAATCTAGTGAGAAAAAATTGTCTACATCAAGCTACCACCAAGTTGTATTCGCATGAGTAGAAATTAATAAATAAAGAATAAAAATAAAATCATTAAACAAAAACATATTTATTTATTCAAACTGATATAATATGAGGCCAATCAGACACAAACTCTGAACTTAATTGGTCAACGGCTTAAGAGGAAATGAAGATAAATTTTTCAGCTCGTAAAAGATCAAACTTGTCTCAGTATAACTTTCGGTTAAATCAACTGGACATTCAGAAATAGATCCATTATTTTGCTCGAGCCAACCAGTAGTTGTATGTATATGACACGTTGAGTGCCAACCATTCTCAACATCGCCTGGCTCAGGACGGTGATAAATATCCTCATAATCAAACCCTGAAGAGCTTTTGAAGCAAGGGAAATCACATGAATAACCAATCCTTGAATAAATAAAATCCTTTTCATTGAAAAGGAAAGATAAATCATCCAACATTGGAATAGAAAGTCGATAGTGCTGACTGGGCCCTGGGCAACGGAAAATCAGAACATCAGGAAAACTCAAAACCTTGAAATCTCCTGAGACCTCAAGTTTACCACCACAAATATTACCACTGATACGATTTGTACAGCCCTTTAAGAAATAAGGTGCCCAATGATTAGGCCAATAAACATAAGTGGTCAGATCGATTGACTCAAAATCAAGGCGAAACCCAAGAATGGGAATATAAGGAACAAAAACAGGATGATTAAGGTCAACGAGATTACAACTGGCACACTTTGTAGGGACCACGACGATAGTGGTGAACTTCTCAGCAAAATCATTCCACTCACTGCAAAGATTAGTAAATAGATCAGCTAAAAAAACCTCTTCGCGTCCTTCTGGTTTGAAATATTCTGGATTAGAAAACTCAGCTAAATGACGTATTAAGAGGATGAAGCGGTGATCCATCCGTAAATCATTCAAAGGCTTGTCCAATGATGGCTTCAAAAATCCCTCAACCAAACCAGGATGAATATTATTACAAATCAGGGAACCTTTGAAACTGAACTTAAGATAAAGGCGATAAAGCTCATATAAAGCCTGGGTCCAAAAAAGAGAATTAGGGGACTGTGAGATGATCACATCGCGCAAAGTTGGTCGCCTAATTCCATGGTGATTAATTAATGAGCATAATCGAAAACCCTCGGCGGAAAGCATTTGAGTGAATGCTGAGCTATTGAAAAGAGGAATTAATACCGAAGTTGCGAAACAGTGACCTCGGAGGTTTGGCATTCCAATAAGATGAGGAGGCTAACAAGAAAGAAAAGAAAAGAAAAGAAAATTAATAAGGTAACATGCGAACGCAAATAGGCAGTAGCTTGTTACCTTTAGATGATTATAAACATTTAATGTTTTAAAAAGCGAAAAAGAAGCTCGATTCAGGGCAATCTTGGAAGTATTACCAGCTCCATTAGAACGAAAATCGCGCCCATCAAAACGAAGAACAAGCCTTACAAACCACTTCAATGACCGATTTAACTTGAAAGACGCTCGATACTTGGACAATCTGCAGGGTATGAGGCTAATAACGCAATAGTTCAGAGAATGAAAACAACCAGCACAATCACCCATGACAGAACAAGAAGAAATCACATCATGATAAAAATGATCGCTTAAACAAATTGGTAAAAAATCACCCATTGTGGAAGTAAAATAAAGCCAAATGAAGCAAATGAAGAGACAAAATTAACAAGCAAATACCGAAAAACAGTAACTATGGCAACAGAAACAAAGAAAACAAAGTTTTCAAAACAATGAAAACAGCTGAATAATAAACTTTAATAAAATGTACAATATAATCGCAATGAATGTATGGAAAAAAGAAACACTATTTAATACAATAGAACAACAAGTTATAGATAATTCGAATACAATTGCTTTAGTGTCGGAGATTCCTCCGAAAAAGTGCCTAAACTGTGATATGAACAATATCTTTATAAATGGTTCAACAGGAGTTCTGACATCCCTGAATATAAACTCAAAGGCTAACAGCAAATCGATCGATGGTGTTACAATAATCAAAATTGAACAAACTGACTTGACGATTGTCTCAATATACCTACCACCGTATATTACAAATAGACAACGAGTGCTACAAAGACTAAACGCCATCATTGCAACGATAAATGCAACTGAGGGTAATATAATATTAGCTGGAGATGTGAACTGGTCCTCCAAACTATGGTCATATTCAGATCATGACACGGACTCAGAAATTGCACATGCAATGAAAGACCTAGAAAAAATGATTGAGAATCGTAAACTCAAAATTGTCCATAAAACCCCTCATGGTACTTACATGAGAGGAAACAGATCAATTGACATAATGTTGATTAGCCATGAAATGGAAGTGATAAACTCTAACACCTTTGTGATCCCGGAGGCAGACCATCTCGGGCTGATAGCAAAAATCAAAATAAGAAAAACAATTAAACAAACAAAACAAATTAACAAATTCCTGAAATTTGGTACATGGAAAATAAAAGGGGAACCACTTGGAGATATCCAATCAAGTGGAAAAATTGATAAAGATAACCCACTGATCAAGAGATGCCACCAAATCAAATTTCATCCTGAAAACAACTCAATCTTGGTAACAAGAAGGAAGAAAAGAAATCAATATCAACGGCTGAAAAAGAAAAGAAAAATAATTATTAGAAAAGTGAGAAAAGGTGAAGAAAATGATATCTACCTACAACAGATAAATGACAAAATCAACCGGAAAAGGCAGAATTTTTCGATACTAAAACAAATCAAGAATTCAAAAGACTCGAGTCACCTGTGGAGACTAATAAAAAAACACATTCTCCCGGAAGAGAAAACGTATGACGTAAATAACAATGAAACTGCAGGTCACCTGAATGATATACTCAGAACTTTCAGGAAAAGTAAACCAATATACAATGACATTCTCCCTCAAATTGATGGAAAGCTACATGAAGATGAAAAGTACATCCTGAGAAATATGCGATTCGAAACATCCTCGAATAATTCAGACAAATATACGAAAAAAACATGGACAAAGATATACGAAGAAAACAAAGACCTAATCATTGATTGCGTTGAGAAGATATTCGAAGTGTCACATGTGCCAAACATGCTAACAACGCTTGGATGTCAAATTCTCGCTAAAAGCGATGGGATAAAACTTAGAGTAGTCAAAAGCCCATGCTACCTTATGAAAATGATTGATGCAATATTAGCACACAGAATACATCAAATACTTCCGAAATACCTCTTAAATGATTCACAGTTTGCCTATCAGAAAGATATATCAAGAGAACACTTTGTGGCCAGCCTATACTTCAACACAGAATTGGAGGGAAATTGGCTGGTAAAACTTGACTTAGCATCGGCGTTTGATACAATCAACCTAGCCCCCAGTCGGGTTCGGATGATGGATCATATTGACAAATCGACAATGAGTCTCTTGGACTCATCATTAAAAAATAGATGGTTGGTTCTACAATGGATGAACCAACGGCTATACAAGAGAGACGAGGCCACAGTAGCACAGGGAATGGCGATTGGGTGTCTACTATTCATCATTGGTCTGGACTCTGCAATCAGAATAATTCGAAACCTCAAAATCAAAATATGGGCATATGCTGATGATCTTGTGATACTGGTGCCAGTAGATGAAATTGAACAAACAATTAACGTAATTGAAAGAATAATGTTGAGAATAAATCTCAAACTTAACAAACTGAAAACGGAAAGATTCCCACCGACAACACAATTAATAACCTGCTTGGGCTACTCATTCACGATTATACCTCAAGGAGAATCAAAATTCATTCAACAGACAATTGAACTTGCCAAGAAGCTAAAATGGGATCTTCAGGTAAAAATGAATCGCTGGCAACAAATCCCATTGAATGTCAAGAAACTACTTTTTCTCACAATAATATTACCGAAACTGACGAAATACCTCATAATACCTTTCCACTCGAAATACAAAATGAACCAAACCCAGATAACTCTAAAGATACAACAAACAATGGGAACAATTTATAATATGTTCTTTGAGCAAAGAAACACATCAAGGCTTAAATACCTGACAGTTCATCAAATACCAGATCCGATGATACCATGGCTAATGAAAATGAAGAAGATAAAATCAGAATTTGAAAAGCTAAAAATCAATGTGGACCCACTAATAGATTACATACCCATCCTCACGATAAATGAACGCGAAATCTGGAAAAGATGGTCACCTGAAGACCAACCGACGAAAATATGGTTCGATATTGTCAGATTTAGATTCACATGGGTATTGACAGTGATGGAAGATAGATACGAATCAGAAATAATTGAAAAGGAATATACTGGAATAATAGCCGGAAGCAAATGGGAAGCTCTAATTTTTTCCCTCCAATACATAATCATGGAGAAAATAAAAAGAAAAACACAAATACTGGTACCAGATGAAATCAGCGAATACTGGAGAGGCGAATCAATCTTTGCGAAATCGATAAAAACGCTGCTATCGGAGCAAATTCGGAAAAACTGGACCTGGTATGAGATGCGAAGTAAAAAACTTAAAGCGATACCAATAATTGATGAACTGCGAGAAAACTGGACAAACATGGAGAGCATAACAGGACAAAGTTATCTAACACAAGAGAAGAAAATAAGACAATGGGCCATCCTGGTAACTCGAACATCACTGGTGGAATCAAACAACATCATGACGAAGATAAACCCAAAATTGAAGAGAATAAACCTTAGAAAAGGGAAACTTTGGCACTTGATGACACATCCACAAATAACGAACTGCTGCAAAAAGGGACCGGATTGGAATCATTTCCTAATCGAATGTAACTGGACTGAAAACGTAACGGGAATACTAGAGATGAGAATCAAGAACAACTTTGACATATATGAGAAAAAAGAAAATCTTGAGGCCATTGAAAATATGATCGAATATGTAAAGATAATTGAAGCCTGTGAAAAACTATGTAAATGTTTATAAGAGGTAGTAAAATAACCTCATAGAGGGTGTGACGAGAGCACACTCAGTTGTTTTACAATTCCTGTAACTTGGATTAAACAGAAATATTCTAACCGCTAAATGTTTGTTTTCATTTTTTTTCTCATCTCAAAAGTAACAATTAACTTGTTTGAATTTTTTTATTAATTATATTTAATTTTTTCTTTGCACAAGTAGTAGTTAATTGTAATTATGACATCAACAATTACCGCTCCGATAGATGATAAAGGTGACGATAAACCAGTGGATCGGGAAAAGGTATAAATGATTATTTGGAATAATTTATTTCTTTTAATTTTCCATTTTTACTTTGGTTTTTTTTTCGCTTTTGTATTTTTTTTTAACGGATTGACGGTTGATTGTTGAAAGATTTTCTATTAATTGTTGATTATAACTTTAAATTTGTCGATTACTTGTAACTAATTTAGTTGATTTTCTTCCTATTATGATGATTTGTTTTGATTTTCTTTCTTTTTCCTTCTTTTCTTCTATAAGACTTTTACTTGGTCTTTTTTTTTGCCTCATTTTCTAAATTCTAAATTCTTTTTATTTCTTTTTTCTTCTTTTTTTTCCAAAACCAAGACTTGTCCTCTTTTGCTTCGAGTTTTCTTGGGTAATGGTCGACATCATTCACCTGGTGAATATAATCGAGGAAATGTACCTTCTAATGAGCTTCAAATATACACCTGGATGGATGCTAGTTTAAAGGAATTAACTAATTTGGTTAAAGAGGTTAATCCGGATGCTCGTAGGAAAGGTACATGTTTTGATTTCGCTCTAGTTTTTCCCGATCTTCGGACTCCAGGCTATCGAATGAGAGACATCGGTTCAACATGTTCAGGTCAAAAGGGAATCGATGACACTAAAACTTTAGCTTTATCAAGATTTCAGATCGGTGACTACCTAGACATTGCCATATTTCCGCCTCAATCTCGAGGACAACCAAGACGTGGTGGAGGTGCCGGCGGCGGAGGCGGAGGAGGAGGAGGAGGTGGTGGAGGTGTTACTGGCCGAGTAATTTACTAAACACTCATCACTAATCAACTTCACTAGAAATTTTTTCTCTTTTTCTATCTCTCCTCTCACCTCTCTCACTTTTCATCATTTCTACCAAAAAAAAAAGGATACAAACAAAACGATTCTTGTGATAAATCATAAGTTTATATTGATTATCGGACAAAATTTCACTAATTTATCAACACCATAGATTGTCTCTGGCTGCATATGCATTCAAATTTGTGTAATAATTTTCATTCTCAATCCAATTTATCAAAAAAAAAAGCAACAATCAACAATCTTGTACAACATTGATAAACGAAATCATCACCAATTGCTGAGTTCATTATATAATAAATGATTAACAATTAGATGAGTTTCAATGTTCGTGAAAAATTTTAATAATAATTTATACTCTTATTTACCAATTAATGGATAGAATTAATTTTTACATTTCCAATTAGAATATCACAATTTCTTTGTTTGGATAGAAAACAAAAAGTTAATTACAATTAGATGATAATTATTTTTCCATCCGCCTTGACGAGCATTAAATAGATCAGATTAAACAGTAAATTGATTGTTTGATCAGGATGATTGTTTCCCTCTAATGATAATCAATAGATTTGTAATCATCCGTATTATTGGTGAGCTAATTGAAAGACAATCAAACTCTGGGAATTACATCAATTCCTAAATCATATTGTTGATCTAATCCAATTAGTGCATCACTTAGAAAGTAAAGTGAATAAATTGCTCGTCCATATCTTTCTGGTGTCCGAATGATCAAACTATTGGTCATTAATTTATTTCCAATGTAACCTGATCGTTTAAGAGCAATTAACTCTTTCGTATTTGAATCGCCAACAATTAATATCCAATTTTCATCTTTAGGTTTAGCATATTTTGGTGCGTAAATATAACGACTTGGCCTGTAGTTTGATCGGGTTGATCGTTCAAAGTTAAAGTTAATTAGATAATCAGTATCGGCTTCCAGTTCAATGAAATGTCGTGATTTAATTGATGTATCAGGTAGATCAAGGGTTACTTTTAATTCATCACTTTCATCTTCAGCCTTTTTCAGTGTAACTTTTAAATTGATAAAGGGTAACCCGTTAATTGTTTGATAAATATCACGAATTTGTTTTATATCCATCATCTTATCCAGCGGTTTAATTAGACAATCAATTCCTCTACTATCAACGATTGACATTAATTCTGGTAAATGTATTGATAAGTGTCGCTTAAATTGTGGTAAAACAATTTCATCAACATGGGGAAGAGTCAAATAAGATGGACAATCGTACCAACGAGCTTGAATGATCATTTGAAGGATTGAAATTAATCCAAGTGTCGCTGTTAGGTAACCATTCATGGCGGAAATATCAATCATTGCTTGAATTATACGAATCGCTTGGTCAAGAACTGATTTAGTATCAGTATAATAATCAGTTGAAGGTAATTCGAGACGGGAAAAGTGGGCTTGAAGGAGTAGATATGCTTTGGTATGGGAACAGTCAAAAGTGGCACCATGAGTTACAGGGAATCGACATCTTTTAGCCAAATCTTCATTCTGTAAGTCTTCATTGTGTCTAACAGGAAGTTCATTGTATTCAGCGGCTGAGGTCAGTATGTGTAGTAATCGTTCAATTTTGATATCATTTGATAATTGATCTTGAAACATTTTAACGGTTTTATGGTTAAGATAATAAAATGATGCAATTCGTCCGAGTGGTGTAGCATAAAGGGTTCGATCATCTTCTGGATCGACTTCAACACAAGCGGATGCTTCAAGTGCGTTGACTGCACGATCGGTCAATTGTGAAAGGAAATGATTGATTGTTTGAAGATCAGCACCTTCCATTTCATAGTAACTTGGATTTTTAAATAATCGCCGAAACAGATAAGTCCATGAAAGATATTCAACACAATCAGATTTCGATGAAAGAGTTCCGGCCACAATTTCAGCGTTAACGTGATCTTCAATTACTGGAATTAGATGCGACTCTACTGGGAAAGGTTCGTACAAGAACTTTTTATAAAATTCTTTCTTTATATCGTGAACAAGGATCACGGCGATTCCCTCTTTATCGAACTGAGGTCGACCTGCACGTCCCATCATTTGAAGTACATCGGTTATTGGAAAGTCAACATATCGATGGATTTTCCGTCATAAAATTCAGTTCCTTTTATGATTACCAAGTGAGCGGGAAGGTTAACACCCCAGGCCAGTGTTGCCGTTGTTATTAGAACTTGAATTTTCTGATTGAGAAACAATTCTTCAACAAGTGACCTGTCCTTCTCATGGAGACCAGCATGATGAAGGCCAATACCAAATGCTAATGTTAATTTAAGGTTACTATCTTTGATATTATTCTGAATTAGATAATTATTTTCCTCATCAGTCATGTGAACCCATTGCTTTGGATTATCCATGGCAAGGTAAGCAATTAAATCGAGAGCTGTTAATCTAGTTTGTCGACGAGATGAAACGAAAACAATTACCGGTTTATCAGGTGAATGTTGTTTAACCGCTTTGAATGTTGGTTTATTCATGGAGGCCATTCTTGGGCAGTAATGTTTACCAGGATAACCGGAAACATGGACTTCAAGGGGAACTGGACGAACTGAAGGTCGAAAATTGTAGAGACCAATTTTTTCAATTCCAAGCCAATTAGCTAAATCTTGAGCATTAGCAACAGCCGTTGATAGACCAATGAGACGAATTTTCCTTCCTGTATGACTATTGATAAAATTGGTTCGAGAAACTATAACCTCAAGAACTGGACCACGATCTTCACCCAGTAAGTGAATCTCATCGATAATTATAAGACAAACATCACGAACATATTGTCGTGTTTGCCAGGAACGAGAAATACCATCCCATTTTTCCGGTGTGGTGACAATTAATTTAGCAGACATGATACTTTTTACATCGGGAGTAAAATCACCCGTTAATTCAACAACGGGTTTGTTTAAACGTTCACCAAGACGAACCTTCCAATCGTTAACACGTTCACGAACCAGCGCTTTAAGTGGAGCAATGTAAACAATTTTACATTCAGGGTTAACATTGAAGGCACGGAAAATTGCAATCTCGGCACAATTAGTTTTACCCGAACCTGTTGGTGCACCAAGGAGGACATTATTATCGGTATGGTAAAGAGTGTGAAACAATTGCGTTTGAATTGGATTGAAATGAGTAAATTTAAACAGCGATTCATAGGAATCATTTTTCAATGCGCTTATTGGTAACGGGTTGAGATCCAATAGTTTTGTAAAGGGTAAAACTTTTTCTGGTAACACGAGGCCAAAACACGGGATTGACTCTTCACGATCACAGCCTAACCAACGGTCAGAATCAGAGTGGATGATGTAATGGGAGGGAAGATTATCAGGGTCAAGCAGGGGAATGGTAAAGACTAATGTTTGCGTTTCCTTTTTAATGGCCTGTTTTTTGGTTACTTTGAAAAACTCGTGGTGGTAAATGTGTTGACTATCAGCGTCTTGCATCCAGATCCAAAACGGTTCACTTTTTTTACCGTTATAACTATCATCCCAATTGAATGAAGGTGTTATATGTAAGGTAACTCGAATGACCGTTCTAGTGATTGGTTGAAGTGTTGCTTCAATATCGAGACAAGGTAAAGTGTAGGCCAATTTTTTGAGTAAAATACCTTTCGATTCAACCCTTAACATATTGGCCAATTCTCTAGTTGATAATTCATCCGATTTAATCTTATTAACGGTAATTCCAAGTCGTTGAATTTTATCAAGATCATGGTGACTTAAGGATCGACTAAATTGTTGAAAGGGTGTTTCATGACTCCACATTTCTTTTTCCAACATTTTCGATAGAGATAGAAATTTATGTGCCAGTGAGGCGAATCCTCGTCTTAGAACATATTCAAAAAGACCTCGTAATATACGAACCGAGTTCTGGAGAAGAAGAAAAATTCACAAATTACTAAATATACTCGAGAATAAAGTTCGAAATGTACAAATTTACCTGAACAATATACAACATGTCGGAAGTTAATGAGGTTTGTTCAATCTTAGCATGAGATAAATAAGCTTGAATTAAAATGTTTGTCTTTCCATTTTTATCATCCAAAGAACCACCAACTTTTAACCAAGTGTAATTAGCATTTAGATGAGCTAATTCATCCATTTCCTCTTCTCGAGACTAAATTAAATTGTTTGAAATAGAAAGAAAAAGTTAACTCGATTACTAATTAGTTAAAAGGTTCAATTTCAATTGGTGGTTACCTTAAGTTGATCAAATTCTTGGGAATTACTGATCATATTTAAAATTGCATCTTCCATCATGTAAACACTTAATAGTTGATTAAATATCTCAATTGTTTTATATTTAATGTAATAATGACTCGCAGTTCGACCAAGGTCAGTTGGATCAAGACATCCGGTTGTCTCATCATATCGAACCATTCGAGCTCTATCCAAATCCATGGCTGAAGCGATTATCATATCTCTCCTTTTATTAAATAATCCTGGATCATTGATTAAAGTATCATGGGTTATACCATAAACTAAGGGATTTTTTTTCATTCGAACAAAAAAATAAGTATATCCAAGCCATTCAACTGCTTCGTCAATCGTTGTCACCGTACCTAAGACAACCTCGGCGTTTAGATGATCGGTACAACATTTCATAAATTGAGATTCAATTGGAAATTGGCAGGTTAAAGTTGTTAAATAGTGTCTCAATTTATCGTGAGTTGTGATTATGGTTGCAAAACCTTCCTTATCGTATTGAGGTCTACCTGCTCGTCCAAAAATTTGCATAACATCAAGTACATCTAATTGTACATAATTACCCTGAGCTGGATCATAAAGCTCAGTACCTCTGATGATAACTGCATGAGCGGGCAAGTTAACACCCCAGGCAAGGGTTGAGGTACAAACTAATACTTTGACAACACCTTCTTTGAATAGCTTTTCCACTAGGTTACGATCAGGTCGGGTAAGTCCAGCGTGATGAACACCTAATCCATATTTTAGTAGATCTTTAAGTTTACCATTGTTTGGTCGTTCGATTGCTTTTACAACGGATGCTGACATTTCAGGTCGAAATAGTTCCAAATGTCCAGCAGCTCGAGCATTTTCTTTAAGAATTTCAGCAGTTTTATAAGTCGCATTACGAGCATGAACGAAAACCATACATTGTTGACCACGGGAGACAAAATGGTGAACTTTTTCATAACAAATTTCATCCATATCATTCATTTGCGATGAAGGAAAAGTTGACTTGATTCCAATGAAAGTTTGTCCCAGAGGAACTGGACGGAATCTATCATCGAAAAAGAATAGTCCCTCCCTTAGGTTAACGTTTAAAAATGAGGCCACATCAACATAATTAGGAAGAGTAGCTGATAGACCAACAATTCGAATCATTGATTGTGTTGATTCAACATGGCGAAGAGTCCGAGCAACCAGAGCTTCAACAACTGGACCTCGGTCAGATTGTAGTAAATGAACTTCATCGATAACCAAAAGTTTAACCAATTTCATTAGTTCAACTTCACCTTTAGGTTTTCTAGTGACAACATCCCATTTTTCCGGTGTCGTAATAATCATATGGGTCTCAATGATTTCCGCTTTTGACAATTGCATATCACCGGTCAATTCTTTAACCCGAACACCTAAAGGTTTCAATCGTTTGGAAAATCCATCAGTCATCTCGGAGGCAAGTGCTTTCATCGGTGCAATATAGATTATTTTAAATTCCTCTGCACTGGTAACCATAAGTGTTTCCGGATCACAGTGTCGACGTAGCTCATTGAGAATTGTTAACATGGCGATATTTGTTTTACCAGCACCGGTTGGGGCACAGATTAACATGTTATTATTGGTGTTACAAGCGGTATTGTAGACAATTGATTGTACCTTATTTAGCTTTTTAAAACCGGCGAAAACTTTACGTCCCAATGGATCTAAATCTTTTTCTACATCAATCAGGCCAAATTCGGGTAAAAAATCAGGGGAATCTTTGAACACGGTGGAATTTCAATCTCTTCCCATTTAGGATTATCGTTTCTCTTAAAACCGGCAGGTAAGGCCATTTTAGCACCGCAAATAAATGCCGCTGATAGTTGAGCTTCGGCGTAATTATCAAAAACAAAGGGATACTTTTCCCTTTCCATTGGTGCTGTTCGTTTGAATAGTGGCCCGGACATCGCCTCGAGCAATTGTCTCTCCTTTTCTTGTTTAATCTTGTTAATATCGGTTGTATCATTTTCATTTGCTTCCTTGTTAATCTCTTTCATCATTTTTTTCTCACATTTTCGAATATATTTTTTCAAATTTTTCTCTTCCATTGTTTGTACCACCACCGATTGAGTAATTGAAGGTTTCTTGGGTTGACTTGTTTGAAGGGAATTTAATTTTGCCAATGCTTCCATTGCTGGATCACCAATTTGATCTGAGATTGTTGTTGTTGATGATAATAGGAAAGATTCTTGATAAAGTGATTTATGAGATTTAACAATTAACTGGTGATTTTGAATTATCTCTCGAATTAAATCAATTGCACCAAAGCCAAGAAGATCCATTAACTCTGATTCAAGATGAGAATGTGGTTTACTTTTATCATTAAGTAAACCAACAATTAACTGCATCAACTCTTCAATATGAAATTCTGTTAATCGAGCAGTTTCCAGATAAGCAGATAATCTTAATGCCAATGTTTCAATATCTTTAATCTCACCCAATTTACTTTTATCATTACTAACAGAACTTGTAATTCTTGATGTATCAAGGTAACTGTTTAATGACAATTCACCTCCTCCTCCTCCTCCTCCATTACCACCACCAACAGCACCATTACCAGTACCTAGTCCACTACCACCATGAGATGAAGTTGATTGTGAAGGTGATAAAGTTGATCCTCGAGTTCCCAATGAATTCCAATCAAGAAAATCAATCTCATCAGGTGGACAAGATTGACCAATCTCATTTTCAATGGTAAAATCACTTGCCCATTCATAGTCATTTAAATAGTCAAAAGTAGCCATCAACTTGAAGATAAAACAGAAAACTGATTAGTTAAACACCAAATAATTAGAGTAAATGTTAAAAAAAAATTCTTTTTACATTAAATAGAAAACTAAACAATCAAAACAATCAATGAGAAGAAATTAAATAAAAACTCTAAACAATCAACGTCGCTTTCAAAAGGTAAACATTGGAAATAGAAAATGGAAAACTCTACCCACTAGATGGAAGCACTTTCGTTTTCCACCGAACTGATTGTCGGAACAACTTCAATTCGATGTTACAAGCAAAAGTATTGATCCTAGAGAAGTGAGAATAATTTTATCGTAATCAGCGCATCAATATTGACTAGAAAAGTTAGAAAAAAAAATTTCCAACCCGTTGGAAATTTCCTGATATTTTCTCAATAGTTTCGATTTTTTTTTTCAATTTTCAATTTATTGATTGATTTTAATATCGATGAATAATCATCTGGATATTATGAATTATTGCTCACTGATTATCATCCATTGAGTAATTGATGAATTCATAAAATTTTCCGATAAAATTGATATTTTATTTTCTTTAACTTTTTCAAAATCTTCATTTCCAAAGATGATCAACTTTTTTTTTGTTTACGAACAGCTAATAGTTTACTAAGCGAACAACAGATGGCAGCACATTTGAATTTCGATCACCTGATGAGTATAAACTCCACCCCCTTTGAGAGTAAATTTGATTTGATTTTCAAACGCATGGTTTTGATGTCAATTTGTTTATCGATTTAAATTGTTAATTTGTTGATTGATTTAGTTTTTTTCTCTTTTTTTTGTTTTGTGTCTAATTGTTGAAACTTGAAATTGTAACCCTGATGGCTTTTGGTCAGCGTAAATTGTCTGCAACTGGTAAAAAGTTGAAGAAGAAAAAGTCTACTCAAAATGGTGGAGAAGATGATGAGGCCTCTGGTGATAATCAATTTAAGAGTTTTAATATTTGTAAGAAAACACTTATGGGTTTAACTTATTCTGGTTATAAGGTACCAACGGAAATTCAATCGGCATCAATTGGTTTAGCTATTGAAGGTTGTGACATTTTGGGCGCTGCGAAAACGGGCTCAGGGAAGACACTTGCCTTTCTAATTCCTTTACTTGAAAAATTGGAAAATGAAAAATGGACTAACCTGGATGGTATGGGTGCTTTAATTATAACACCAACTCGTGAACTTGCTTACCAAATATTTGAGACAATTAACAAGATTGGTCTTTATCATGATTTCTCTGTTGGTCTAATTATTGGTGGTAAAGATTTAAAATTTGAACGACATCGTATGAATAAGTGTAACATTGTCATCTGTACACCGGGTCGATTACTTCAACATATGAATGAAAATCCTTTATTTAATTGTGATAATACAAGAATATTGGTCTTAGATGAAGCTGATAGAATTCTTGGTAAGAATAGAGGAAATTCTTTTTGTCGAATTTTATGTTTTCTTTTCTCTTTTCTGTGTCTCTCTTTTGTAGATGTTCTGTTCTAAAATTCTCTTTTCAATTTTAATTCTATTCTATTCTTTTTATTTTCTTTCTCTTTTTAGATATGGGATTTAAGAAAACAATGGATGCCATCATTGATTATCTACCAAAAGAAAGACAAACTTTACTTTTCTCTGCAACCCAAACTAAATCAGTTAAAGATTTGGCTCGATTAAGTTTAAAGGATCCAAAATATGTCGCTGTTCATGAACAATCAAATTCAGTTACTCCTGAAGGATTGATTGAAAAATATGTTGTCTGTGAAGCTCATCAAAAGTTAAATGCCCTTTGGTCATTTATCAAGCAAAATTTGAGTAAAAAAATATTAGTCTTTGTGTCAACCTGTAAACAAGTTAAATTTATATTTGAATTATTTTGCCGTATGAAACCGGGAACCTCAATGATGGCCTTATATGGATCACTTCATCAACTACGACGTATGAACATTTACAATGACTTTAAATCATCTAAAAGAGCTTGTTTAATTGCTACCGATATTGCATCTAGAGGACTCGATTTTCCAGCCGTTAATTGGGTTGTACAATTAGACTGTCCAGAAGATACTAATCAATATATTCACCGTGCAGGTCGAACTGCTCGTTACCATAAGGGTGGAGAATCTCTTTTATTTCTTACACCATCTGAAGAGAAATCAATGGTTGAACAATTAATCGCTCGAAAAGTTCCAATTAAGAAAAGTTCTATAGACCATCATGGTTCAATTATAAGGAAAGCTGAAGCTCTTCTGGCTCGTGATGTTGCTCTCAAGGAAACTGCTCAGCGAGCATTTAAATCTTACCTTAAAGATGTTTACATGATGAAGGACAAAACCGTTTTCGATGTTACCACCATAGATAAAGATATGTTATCCCGATCATTTGGTCTAATAGTTACTCCTCGAGTTCGTTTCCTTGAAAACAAAGGTCTAAATAATAGGAATAAATCAACATCATCTGTCCCGTTAAATGATGAAGATAAAGATAATCCGGTTGAGATTAAATCTAAAAAATTGTTTACCCTAACTGGACATGCTTCCGATGAATCTGATGGGGAAGACTTTTTCACCTCGAAAAAAGTAGCCGTTATTCCGGACATTGAAATAACCCCTGAACCACTTGTACGAACCTCAAAAGGAAAGATTGTAACCCAGGCCGCTTTGGCGAGGAAAATTTTGCGAAAAAATCTCACTGTAAATAAGAAGATTGTCTTTGACACGGAAGGTAAACCAGTGGAAGAATTTCCAATGGAACAAAAATCGGAAAAGATTAAACTATTGGACGAAAAGTGTAAAAGTGGAATTGATATTAACATTGCTAAAGAAATTATGGAAGATGAAGATAAAATTGACAAGGAACTTCAACGAAAACTTATCAAAGAAAAACACAAGGTAAGAATTTACATTTTCTTTTTGATTTTCATTCATTTGAGATAATAAATTAATCAATTGTTTCCCTTTTCTTGTAGGCTAAACGATTAAAAGAACGAGAAGAAAAGAAAGTTAAAGCAGAAGAAGCCAGGAAAAGATTCGCTGAACGAAAAGGATTAGCCAAATCCGATCCTAAATCTCATGATGAAGATGAAGGCACCAGTCAAGACGAAAGTGATCCTGATGATTCTGAAAGAGAAGATCAACTTAATGAATATATCGATCAACTTCCAGATCCAGATTTATATTATAACAACGATGACGACGAAGATGACGACGATGGAGAAGAACGAGAAGAAGAAGAAGATGATGATGATGATGATGATGACGATGAAAATCCAAGAAAAAGATTGAAAACAAGAGATTCATCAGATGAAGATGACGAAGAAGACTTACCATTAACTCTTCAAGACGCCGAGACAATTGCAAAACAATTTATTGATAACTAAATTAAATTTAATGATCAAAACCCATTGTACAAACTATTTTTTGTCTTAAATCAAATTGTCCAAACAACCAAACGAAAAAATCAATTCTACATAATGAATTTTTTTTAATGTAACAAATTTCTAAATTGTATCAATCTCTGTATCCATAAGAGGGAGTCAAGTGTATTAATTGTAGACATAATAATTTCAATCAAACTAAATTTGTGAGATTGCGTTTAAGTTTCAAGTCAAAAGAAATTAGATGATGAACAAGAATCGATATAAAATCGATTCTTTATTCACCAAAAATTTTATTTAAAAAGAAAAGTTTTCAGGTGAACAAAAAGTAAAAACGCAAAACGAAAACAACCCGAACAATCTAATCGAAATACTTGAATTTCGAATAAAAATTACGAAAGAAAATAATCAACGAAAATAACTTTCCAAAGGCGTTTAGATTAATAGATTGGCCGCTCCCTTGAGAGAGACAGAAAGAAAGAGAGAAACAAGACAAGAAGAAGAAAAATCTATCTCTTTCTTTTTCCTCTGTCTACTCCTCTTTCTATTTAATCTGTTCTTTATATATTCCAATGATGAGAAGGATGAGAGAAAAGGTAATTCGATTCAGAGAGAGAGAGAGAAAAAAATCGAAGGAGTAGAAAAAGTTATTCGATTATTTTTCTTCAGTGTATCACTTGGTCCAATCAAAGAACAAAAAAACTCTCTCTCTCTCTTCTTGTATCTACTTTTTTTCCTCTTCGAAAGTAAAAAATTTACTTTCTGTCTTCTTTTTTTTATCATCCTCATCATATCATCATCATCAACATATCATCATTATTATCAATTTACGCGAAAAGAAAACATTTTAAATTTTAAATTTCGTTTTAAACTGTTCCCAAAATCACCAAAGGGACAAAATTGTAATTTCTTAATTGGTGTCGTACAAAAATCGTACATTTATATTTATACATAGTTGGTTGTGTAAAGTAGTTTGTGTGTGTCTCTCTCACTCTCCCTCTTCTTTCACTATCTCTTTACCATTGATATTGATTAATCATTTAATCATCGTAAACATTAATTAATAACTAATAAGTTAATCAAAATAATGGATTCAGATCCAAATGCACGTGTTCCAATGCTTCAAAGTGGGTCCACTGCGAAAGCATCAGGAAGTAATGGTGTTCAAACTTGTGTACGTCTCACCGAACCAAGACCTGGATGTTTAAAAAGGGTGAGTCGAAATCACGGAATTACCGTCAACAATTAGCACCAAAATCTGTAACCAATGCTCGAACCTTTCGATTGCGAGACGAAAAGTAAAAACCTCAGAAAAACAAACGAAGAAAAAAAAGTTCTAATTCTTTAAAATCCAATATTCTTATTGATATAAATATAATTTAAATTCTAACATGTTCTAGTCTACGAATGTTATATTAAATTTTTTTCTTCTGTTTATTCATTATTTTATTGATCTGAATAGATTTATATATAATTTGATTTGATTCTCTAATTGTGTCTAATGTTTTGATTATTAATTTCTCTCTCTCTCTCCAGTGCATAGATTGGAATCTTGATAATTTGCTATTAATATTAACAATAGCAGCGGTTGTTGGTGGTGGTGTTATCGGTGGTTTATGTCGTTATGTAAATTTTTCCGACGACACACAATTGTTGATCAAGTTTCCTGGAGAAATATTGATGAGGATGCTCAAGATGTTGATACTACCACTTATTGTATCTTCACTAATCGCAGGACTTGCACAACTTGATGCCAAAGTGAGTTAAATATAATCTTGTTTCTCTCTCACTTTCTTCCATCTCTGCTTAGTTATTATACCTTTGTTTTTGATTATCATCACCATTGTTCAAAGATGCGATAAACTTGTTTCATGATGCTGATGATGATGATAATCTAGTTGTAAAGAAATTACTTAAATATGTTAATTTGTAACCTTGAAAACGAAAACAAAACTACTGCAAAATCTTGATTATCCTTGATAAAGATTCTGGTCCTGCTCACCTTGATTCATCTTCTCAAAGCATCATAGAAACCATTAGTTACTCCATTCTCTCTCTCTCTCTTACTTGATTTTTTCTCTTTCTTTATCTTCATCTTCATCTACCTTTCCTTTCTTCTTATTATACTTTATCATCTTCATCATTAACAAACAAATAGAAAAACAAACCACCACTGAAAAAGTAAAAAAAAATCCTCAGAAATATGAACAACTTTCTTCAGTTCTCAATTCTCTTGGTGGAAAATATAACTTTCCCATCATGATTTAGTACAGAAAACAATACCTTTGATACCTGGAAAATTTGCTCCTTAATTTTGCTTTTCAATCTTTTAACCGCTTCAAATGGTTCACAATTAACGTAATTGTCATTCCATGTCTACGGTAATTGTGTTTACTTCAGCAATCAGTAAATTGGTACAATTATAAAATTTACTCTCTAATTATTATGGTATCTCACTTAATTAGCATCTCTTTTTTTTCTCATAAATATTAAATGGTCTCTCTCTCTCTCTCTCTCTCTCGCTTTGTAATAAGATACACATGATTTAAGATGTTAATTGTTTGAGACTACTGATACAAGAAAATACAATTAGAAGAGCAAAAATTAACTTCTAATTGGTGAAAAGTTGCCAAAGGTTTTCAATCATGGAAATTTCATCTTTCATAACATGGAAAGATACTGTTCTCATGATAAAATACTCTGCAACTAAGTGAGCAACTTGAAATCTCTTGTGATCATCATTCTCATCATCCAAATGTTAACCTTATTCTCTTTCTCTCTCTTTCTTTTATCATCTTCTTCTTTGATAGTATAAGGTTAGAAAGTCAACCTCGTTTGTCTTTCGTCAACTCATTTTTTATCCGTCTTCATCTTCATCATCTTCCCATTACTTTTAACTTTTCTGTCTCATCTCCATCTTCATCCTCATCCTCATCTTTCACAACTTTATCTCTTCCTTTGCCTTCACAACATTCAAAGAGATGTACAGAGAAAGTGAATGAAGGGATAAAGAAAAAAATTCTTCACACTTTTTTCATCCAAGTCTTTCTTTTTTCCCTTTCTTCGTCTCTGTCACTTAAAAGTAATATTACCTCAGAGAACAGGTGAGAGAAAGAGAGAGAGAGAGAGAAAGAGAGACTTAGATGAAGAAGATAAAAAAGACAGAGAGGATACGGATGATGTCGATCAATACTTTTCTAGGACATCGATATAACTTTCATCTTTTTTCATTTCCTTTTTATTCTTGCCTTTAAAAAGCAAATTTTCTTCTTTCATTCTTGATAGAACATTTTCAAAGTCACTCGAACTTGTACAACTGAACATTCGATTTCATTAGTTATCTATCTTTCCATTTAACTATCATGCTCATATTTACACTTTCCAATGTCCACCATTACCCTGACATCTTTGCTATTCCTTCACCTTCTCAATAAACATCACCATTTAATCAAGAAACATGAGGGAAAATTGAGTAAATTCTGTTAATAGGTTGACCCACTTGCGTCGATAATATCACCCTGATAATATTACTCTTATGCCTTTAGTCATTTATTCACATAGGAAACTAATACTTTGTATCCTTTTCAATATTTTCATCCATCACCTCGAATATAATAATAATAAATATTCACCTTCGCTCACTGATTCTCCAAGAATCTTATGTAATAATCAACATTGTTATTATCACAATTTTACTTTTTCTCCCTGGATGAAGATGGAAAAAATTATCTAACGATAATAACAATCAACTATTTATTAAATAAAAGATAATGAATCTTTTACAAGTATCCAAAGTGACCTTGTACTGTAGTGACCAGGATATTTCGTAGTTAACCCTGTGTTATATTACTTTATCATCCTTATCATCATTTTCCATCTTCTTCATCAACATTTTATCTCTTTTCTTTTTCTAATGTTATTATTATTGGATAAAAGGAGTTTTACTTAATTTCGTTGTTTTTTCTCTCCCTCTCTCTCTCTCTAACACTTTCTCTTCCTTTTCGAAAATGGTTTAACAAGAAGAAAAAGTTCTAATGATAATTTTCGAGAGCGAATAAAGCAAAGTAATATCTTTTACCTCAAATATTTATCCTTAAAGTAAACTATCATCATCATTATCTTCATAACAAATCCCCTGTTAGTTGGAAAGGAGAGAATGAGAGAGAGAGAAGGAGATTAAAGAAAGTCGAAAAGGCTTGATGGTATTATCAGAATTCATGGTTATAATACATAATAATAACATTAGAATTCATATTCACAAGAAACTTGAAAGAAAATCTGAGAATTTTGAATTTTTCTCTCTCATAAAATCAGTTCGGCAATTACGATTGTGTTAATCATCACAATATGAATTGTATTAAATCAATCAATCAAAAAAATCCTTTATCCTCTTGCTGAACCTTTTATTATATTAATTCTAGAAGAAGAAATTTTTTTTTTCACTTTGACAATATTATTATTATTATTATTATTTTCCAATTGAATTTTCAGTGAATAGGTAATGTTATCATGATGAGTTGGTGTTGTTGTTTTCTGTTGTTTTTTAATGATTATCACCATAACGATCATGATGATGATGATGATGATGATGAAGGTGGATACTACAGATAGAAACATAAAGAAAATATCAAGTGAATTGTTTGCAAGAGCGAAAGAGGAAAATCGGTTCTAACCATAATGTCCCAGACTTTATACTCTTTCACTATTTTCCTTGTCTATTTACGCCTCTCTCTCTCTCTCTCTCTCTCTCTCTCTCTCTCTCTCTCTCTCTCTCTTTCCACCCTCATCTCGTTTCTCTTACTCTTTGCTCATCAATATTATCATCACTTTAATCATCATCATCCTTCTCCTTTCTTTTATCATCTTTATCTCCCTTTACTCTACATTCTCGAACATTATATATTTCCTTTTATTTTCCTTTCTTTTTTTTTCTTCCTTTGCTGAGTTAAGCAAAAATCGATTGAAAGCTGAAACTATCATGAAGATTATGATCACCATCATCATCATCATGGAGGTGAATTCTTTACTTTCTCTCTTTCTTTCTTTTTCGTCCCAAAATGAATTCTCAGAGAGCATTATCATCATGGTGCAATCCAGTGATGATTCAGTTTAGTTTTCATGCATTAACATTTTATTATATTCCAGAATATCAAATCGTATTCCAAACGCCCTGATAAACTTTTACCTTAACTTTTTTTCTTTCTCAATATATAAATTCACTTGGTTTTTTAAATTAGATTTTTAAATTAAATATCAAATCAAACAAATTCAATGAAAATTCACACCTTTGATTACAAATAATTCTGATATTCAATTCATTTGATATATATATATATTATTATCCATAAATATATATTAATATTTACATAAATATCAGTTAATTTTGTATATCTTATTAAATTTGATTG